TTTTCAAAATGAAGTGCAAAGTCCAATTTCATCCCAAATATGGGGTGCAAAGTCAAATCCCCCATTTTTAAACTTTAGCATTCTTTAGTATAACATAAATAATTTAGAAGGAAAAACGAACGATATTTATATAAACACACATTAAACTTTTTAGGGACACATGAATACAAATTTCGACTATAAAATTGTTGTTCTAAAAGAAAGGTTTTTTTTATATATATGGAAACAAATAAAAAATGTCAAATGCATTGTTTTTTAATGGCTTGACGCGATATTTTTCTGTTATGAAAATCTAGAACCAGTCTTGTATCAATTTCAAATGATACAATTTCGATTCGAGATAAAAATTTTATAGGACCATTTAAATATCTGCCCTATTCGATTTGATAGCGGTTCCCTCTTACGCCCACCTCTATGCTACTCAGCCGAAGCAACAATCTGCCAAAGCTCCCTCCCAGGCTACTAAACCAAAGGAACAAACTGTCAAGCATGTTTCTAATGCTCCAAAACTGAAGGAAAGTGCAGCGGGCAAGAATGTTTCCATAGCACCCAAACCAAAGGAACCTACATATCCTTTTTATTCTCAAAATGAACCATAAAACAAAGGAATTTGTGGATGGTATTCAAGTGCCGGATAAGGATATTGGGGGTAACAAGGTGAGGAGTGTATATGAATTGGATGATGAGGACGTGGTGACGAAGATGGAGTTTGATGAAAAGGGCAAGAGATCTGTTTGTGTCATGAAGAGGGCTGATCTTCCACTTAGCCATTTTGAGGAGCGAGTTGGGCCGGACTTCAAACGAGTGCATGGAAAAGAGAGCCCCGGAATGAGCTTCACACACCAATGCTTACTCACGCTTCCTGGAGTTAAGCGGGCAGCTTCATGGTATGATTTTGATCCCTTAATTTTTATTCCTAACGTTGTTTCTTTCTTTGATGAAAACAGCAAGGAAAACAAGAAATACTTCAAGGAGATGATGAGGAGGAAAGCAAAAGAAAAGCAAAAGAATGTGGCGGGATCGGAGGATGGCCACACCTCCAACTCGGATAATGATTGATGATTAAAGTCGTCGTGTGGAACGTGAGAGGTTTGAAAAAACCCTCCAAACATAATACGATTACTAGTTTGATTAAAGTGAATAATGCGAGTCTTTGTTGCTTTTTGGAAACTAAAATGAACAAAAATAGCTTTAATAATTATGTTGCAAACAAATGGCCGGGTTGGCTATTTGAAACGAATTTTGAAAAAATTTATGGAGGCCGTATGGCCATTATGTGGAATCCTTGTTTGATTAATTGTGTTGTGAGTATGGTTGAGCAGCAATATATGCATTTTATATGTGTATGCCGAACCACACAAACAACCTTCCAAGTTACATTTGTGTATGCATTATATACCGTTTTGGAGCGCAAAGCGTTATGGGATCACCTTACTACCCTTGGGGACCAAATTAGGGAACCATGGTTAGTTGCGGGGGATTTTAATTGCATATGTGCTCCAAATGAAAGGGTTGGGCCGAGCCCTCCCACGGCTTATATAATGCAACATTTATTTGATTTTAAAGTTCGAGCTAGCCTTGAAGATGCCCCATCTACCGGGGAATTTTTCACGTGGAATAGGGGCAATCTTTGGGCTAAGCTTGACCGGGTGATTATTAATGAGGTTTGGGGACAGCTAGGTATTAGTTGTAAGGCCCATTTCCAAGAAATGGAGGTTGAGTTTGATCATACAGCTTCCGTAATATCAATGCTCAATAATTCCTCTCTTAGGCCGAAACCCTTTAAATTTTTTAATATGTGGATTAAACATTGCGATTTTGCTAACATAGTTGCACAGAATTGGAGTCAATTCATTGATGGTACAACCCAGTTCTCAATTGTGAGGAAGTTAAAGTTGCTGAAAAGGCCGCTAAAGAACCTCAACGCAATGGAATACGGACATATATCAATGAAGGCTAAGAAAGCAAAGGAGGAGTTCAAAAGATTGAATAAATTGTGGCTGGATTCGCCTCTTGATGATGAGTTAAAAATGCAAGTGGCGGCTGCTAGAAAAAATGCTACATTTTTGGGGGAGGCCGAAACAAGCTTCTACCAACAAAAAGCAAAGGCCACACACATTCTTGAGGCGGACAAAGGCACAAGATATTTCCATGCAATTGTGAAGAGGAATGCTACAAGGAACGCCATATCTTCCATAGCTTTGGAGGACGGTAGCCTTACTACTTCCTTAGATCAAGTTGGAGATGAATTTGTAAATTTTTTTGTGAATTTATTTGGTACTAGCGAGGTAAACCTACCCCTTGACCCGTTGGTTTTAGGAACCGGCCCTTTGATTGAACCAAGTGTTCATGATAGCCTACTTGCTCCGGTAACATACAAGGAAATTAAAGATGCCTTGTTTGATATTGGGGATGACAAGGCACCGGGGCCGGATGGGTTTACCTCGGCCTTCTTTAAGGCCAATTGGAGTTTTATTGGGGATGACATAGTCCAAGCGATTAAGGAGTTTTTTCTAACGGGTAAGTTGCTTAAACAGATTAATCATACTGTTATAGCACTTATCCCTAAGACTAATCACTCCCCGAAAGTGTCGGACTATAGACCTATTTCATGCACGAATGTTTTATATAAAAGTATAACAAAAATAATCGCGGCTCGATTAACCCCGTGTCTTTCGGGACTGGTTAATCAAGCCCAAGGAGCCTTCGTCGATGGCCGCCTAATGTTTGATAACATTTTCCTCGCCCAGGAACTTGTTAGAGGATACAATAGGAAGCGAATATCACCAAGATGCATGATTAAGGTGGATTTGCGAAAGGCCTATGACACAATTTCATGGGATTTTTTAGAAAAAGTCTTGAAGGGTTTGGGCTTCCCCGATAGATTCATAGCGTGGATTATGGAATGCGTGTCCACGGCATCCTTCTCGGTTTCCTTGAATGGGTCGTTGTATGGTTTTTTCAAAGGCAAACGTGGAATTAGACAAGGGGATCCAATGTCCCCTTTACTATTTGTATTATGCCTTGAATATTTCTCCCGGTTACTCACATTGAGAACCAAAGGGGGGAATTTTAATTTCCACCCGAAATGTTCTACATTGGGCGTTACACACTTGGCGTACGCGGGTGACCTTATGCTCTTCTCGAGAGGTGACACGTATTCCATAGAAATATTGGTCAACGCTCTCAAAGAGTTCGGAGAGGCATCCGGCCTAAGGGTTAACCACGAAAAATCAAATATTTTTGTGGGAGGAGTGAGGGACCAAGAGTTACAAAATATTTTAAACCTTGTTGACTATGGGCAAGGATTATTCCCGGTGAGATATCTAGGAATACCACCTGTCCCTCTTAAGGTATCGGTTGCACAGTATGCACCTTTACTTGACACAATTAAGGATTTTCTAAATGCGTGGAATACAAAAACACTATCCTATGCCGGAAAGATTGAGCTAATCCGATCGGTGATCCAAGGGGTCCAATCGTTTTGGCTCCAAATCTTCCCGGTTCCCCAAACCATATTGGATAGGATAGTGTCCATTTGTAGACTGTTTTTGTGGGGTGGAAAGTTCTCAAAGGTGGCTTGGGATGACATATGTCTTCCAAAAGAGGAAGGGGGTTTAGGCATTCACAATGCCCGTAATTGGAACGATAGCCTCCTTTCTCGCACTCTTTGGGACGTACACAAGAAGAAAGATACCCTTTGGGTTCGTTGGGTTAATGGTGTCTACCTTAAGGGTAGAAGTGTGTGGGAATTTGTCCCACACGGCCGAGACTCACAACTCATGAAGAGGTTGAGTCAAATACGGGACAAAATACGAGGGTGCTTTAATAATTTAAACGAAACCATAATGGGCCTCAATGCTAGGAGTACCAATGGGAAACTATTATCGGCCAAGATCTATGAGCTTCTACGAGTAAAGGCAACCATTAGGACTCCAATGAGCTTCATTTGGAAGTCCTACATCCCCCCAAAATTCTCGTTTAATGTTTGGTTGGGCTTGAGGAACCGGCTGCCCACACAGGATAGCCTCGGTTACCTCCACATGGTTAATAGGTGTGACCTATGTAAGGGTGGATTGGAAACAATTCCACACCTTTTCTTTCTTTGCCCATTTTCTTGTAGGGTATGGGATGAGATCAGGGATTGGATTGGAATTGGACGCCAAATGACAACAATGCTCAGCTCAATCAAATGGATCATGAAGACACACAAAGGATCAACGATGAAGGCCAAAGCTGCTCGTCTAGCATTCTGTGCCACGATCTACTACATTTGGCATGCGAGGAATGAGATACGATTTGACGAAGGAACGAAGACGGAAGAAGATGTGATTGCTAAGATCAAACATGTGGTGTATAAGATCCTATATAGCTTATACTCGCATGACATGATCAAATTTTGATGGGTGGATGTCGTCTCCTTTCTGAAGCCGCGACATCATCTTTCTTGGACTAGGGTGTGTGCACATTGCAACACCATGATTCCTTTTTTGGGCTAAGGGGAGTGTGCATTATAACCTCCTCTTGGTAATGCATTTTCTTCTGATGGATGTATTTTGGTGAGCTGTGTGCGTGCACTTTGCAGCACCGATTGGTTTTTGAGCTTTTTGGGGCATTTAAGTATTGTATACTTAGGCCCCTTTTAATTTCGATTTAGATCGAACAAAAATCACTCCCAACCCTTACACTAGACAGGGGTGTGGATTTTGGGAGATCAAGAACCTTTTTGATGTATTGTATTCTTGGGGTGTTAATATAAATTTACATTTCATCCCAAAAAAAAAAACTATGAAAATTGACTAGACCAGTTCTAAATTCAAGATAGTACTAGAGAGGACATGTTACTGCAGACAGAGCACAGCATCAATTGCTTACACGTCATAGCGTATATTCATGCGCTTACTCTGTACGTGTCGAAACCTCAATTCTTTTGCCGCCATGGCCATTAAAGAACCAGCTCCTTTAAAAGCCCACCCAGAATATTGCAGCAATCTAGCCGGCAACTATTGGGATCGATCACCGGAAGATGGAGACGCAAGAGGAGAAAAGCGGCGGCGAGCAGAACACAAATAGTCAAGAGGGGAATGAAACCCGTAACGGAGAAGAAGAAAGATGTGATGAAGAAGAAGATGGCGGCGATCAGATTCCATCCATGGCGCTGAACCACGTGACGAGGCTGTGCAGGTGCGTGAAGGAGTCGGTGAAATTCTACACGAAGGTGCTGGGGCTGGTGGAGATGGAGCGGCCGCCGGCGTTCGACTTCGACGGCGCGTGGCTCTTCAACTACGGCGTCGGGGTTCATTTGGTGCAAGCTAAGGATAACAAAGATGGGCTTCCCAATCATAGGACAGATCAAAATCAGCTTGATCCCATGGACAACCACATCTCTTTCCAAGTACGTTTTATGAATTTGTAGGAAGTATTTCTAAACTTAGGCCTGGCCGGATATTTTCATTTTTCATAAGTTGCTCTAAGTAAAAACATTTTGAAATTTTAAAATAGAATGATCATGTTTTTATCCTCTCAATAGTAATCTGTCAAGTTTGAAAAAAAGTCATGTTTAAAATCTAGTAATAAAATGTCAAACTTGGCAGAAATTTATCTCTATTCAGGGAATAAAAAACATTATAGTTCTATTTTGGAATTTCAAAACGTTTTTACTCTAGAGAATTCTCTCTTTCATTTTTTGGGTGTTCGAGAGTTTTTATTTTATTAAAAATAAAAAAGAGGACTCATTCATTCCTATTTCCGAAAGTTTTGATTAACAGATTCTTTAAATAGGATTGAATAAGTCATATTTAATGAAAAACATATTTAGTCCTACTTTTTCACTTTTAAGTATACATTTTGGTCTTATATTGATTGAGTAATATCTAAATGAGAAATGCGGTCCATCACTATGTTTAAGAAATCGGACCAAAATCGGACCGTGAAGCGACTCAGTCTCATGACCGGATCACGGGTCAACGTCATAAAACCGGACAATCATATAATAATAGTAAATATATAGTTGTATACAAAATTAAAATAAAAGGTAATTATTTCTTAGTAATAATCAATTAATAATGATACTTACTAAGCATTTAAAAGTCAAAATAGTTTCACAATATTTCAAAACACCATTTTGATCTTATTAATATATACAATTCTCTGTTAGTAAAAAAAATGAGATTTTGAAAATTTACAATGAGACAAGTTTAACAATATTTTTCAAAAAAAAATATTAATACATTAATAAATAAAACGTAGTCAAAGTAGAATATGTGAATAGTGTAAAATTCAACATGATTGTTTATTTAATAACAGAGGTAGTATATAATTTGACATGATTGTTATTCTTAAACAAATAAGTAGTATATAAATATATTGCATATTTTTCTTTTAGGGTACTGAAATTGGATTTTATTGGTTAGAAATAGTTTAAAATTTAAAAAAAAAACATTTTTTGGAAAAAACAATCAAAATCAGTTTTTTTCGGATTTGTTGGGTTCTTCGGGTTCGGGTTTGGATAGGGTTTTTTCCCGATTGGACGGGTTTTTCTGGGTTTTGACCACTTCCGGAGTTTTAACTAGCTAATCGAAGCGGATTTTGGTCCAAGTCACCGGGTTCCGGGTTGACACGGCCGATCCTTGGCAGTTTTTTAAACATATAGGTTCATCATTGAATTGAAGTATTACTCCTTCCGCAAAATAAGTGTTACATTATATTTTCTTTTCACTTTATTATACTCAATTTTTTTATGAAAATTATTATACTCAAATCTTAATCACAAAAAATGGGACGGAGCCATACTACTATTTTCACGTGAATATACTAAATAAATGAAAATAGTATAATGTATACAAAACCACGTACTTTTTATACCCTACTTATTTTTGAGTTATATACGTATAGTAGTATCCAAAGAAGGTCTTACTATTACTTGGCTAGGGTGTTGTTCACAAATTGTTGTACGGAGTATTTTAATTATTTGGCTGCTTACTTTGACGGTGGTGCAGTGTGAGGACATGGAGGCGGTGGAGAGGCGGTTGAAGGAGCATGGAGTAGAATACAAGAAGAGAACGGTGGGGGAAGGTGGCGCCGCAGCCTCCATCGACCAGTTGTTCTTCAAGGACCCGGACGGCTTCATGATTGAGATCTGCAACTGTGAGAATGTCACTCTTGTTCCTCAAGCATCTCCCCACAAGATCAAGCTCCCCTCCAATCGTCACAATCCACCTCTTCTCTCCAAAAAATGATTTTCAGTTCTCATCCTTAATTGATTACGTGTTCCTTTTTATATTAAAATGTAAGGAGTAAATTATTAGAGCCACTGTCTATATGTTATGACGAATACAACGTTTGTTTTTTTAATCGGCTAGGCCCACTGTCTGTATATTAAGACGAATACAACGTTTGTTTTTTAACGGGTTTTCATTAAATAATACCGAGTATATACTACCTACTACGTATACAACAAACAATTTTTAGACATTTATTGCATATTTGAGACAATTTCTAGATAATTATTGTATATTTGATCCCTTAAGAATAGATTTAGAGTTAGTCACTCATATAAAGCAATTTGAGTCGTTAGACACAAACGGACAAGAATAAGTCTAAAACGATCGAAAATCAAGAACGATCGAAAATCAAGAATAAGTCTAAAACGATCGAAAATGAAGCACTATCTATGAAAAATTCTTCAAAAACCAAAAAACTCCAACCATGACTGCTCGAACTGAAAATGCTCTAGTATGGGAGAAGAGAATTTCGACCCACAAAATTTCGCCTAAAACTCTATCCCTCTTGCGCTCACCAATTTGCTCTCATCAATTTGCTCCTTAAAGTTTGCCACTGAAATTCATGTTTGAGGTGCTCATCTTAATTTTATTGCTACTATCGGGTTAATATACGACACGTGTTCTATATTAACTCGGTAGTAAGTTTTATTAATGAACGCGTCTCGTTATTAATAACTACCCTCGATGAACTGGATATACTCCTCGATTGAGTATTCGAGAGGAAGATAGTTAAAGATATAACCGGGATCTACGAACATTTCATTAAGTGGATAAAAGCAAAGCTAAGTCTTCATCTCTATTAAGTAAACCACATAAGTCGTTCATCTTAGTATTAATTAAATTTAATCAAATCAAACTTAAAACCCCCTTTGTTATTCATTACTAGTTATATATAAAAAAAAGTATTCCTTTCCCCGTGGATACAAACCTTACTTCAATATACTACGTATATTTGTTGTATTGATTAATATTTTGAGTGCATACACGACAAAGAGCACGTCACTTGTGTTCCCACAAAAAATTCAAGCCGCACTCCACCTCCCTATTGAAGGAAAGGAATAAAATATACTCAATACATAATATTGTAATTAATATTGTAATTGAATAGTGAAGACCGTTACATATATTTCTCATTTATGAGGACTTTATTTCTTACCATATAGATATACTTAGTCATAGTAAAAATCACAGCTCTTGTAATGTATTTGGTGTGCAGAATTATATTCAAAATCCTCCTTTTATCCCTTCTTCTATAAGGTATCAGAGCCTTTGAGCTCTAACCAGCCCATCCCCCCTTCCTCATGACTACTGGCGACAGTTCCAATCAGCCGGAGGTTCTCCTCCAGCAAGGAGACCCCAACTCTGTTGTTATCAGCTAGAATCATCCCCCTCCTTTTGTTACCGTACCCCTCACCCAAGACAGATTAATAATACTAAATCCTAGTCATTTTCCAGAAAAGCTAGCTAGATGGCTCCAATTACCTTGTTTGGCGTGACCAGATCCTGGACCTACTCTTCGGCTCTCAACTTGACCAGTATGTCGCAGATGGCACTGTCCCACCGCCGCAAAGTGATATTGAAGGCCATCTCCGGTGGACTAGGCAGGATCGGCTCATACGACATGCACTAATTGCTTCCCTGAGTTCAGCATGTAAGCCGTTGGTGGGATCAGCATGTACATTTGTGGCAGTTTGGAAGACGCTAGAGCAACTTTACGGTACCCGCACAACATCTCAAATCCGCAACGTGAAGGACATATTTCACCACACACGACAGGGATCCAAACCGGTAGGAGAGTATCTCCATCATCTCAAATCCCTCGCCGACGAACTAGCCCGGGCCGACCGTCCTGTAGATGATGAAGATTTCGTCATCCCTAGCCTAGGAAGGACATAGCCCTGAGCTCGAATCATTTGTGAATTCTATTCGCACCTGTGGAGACAATAGCTTCGACGTGATTTACACTCTGCTCACGGGCTTCGAAGCGACTCTAAGGCGGAAGGAGAGCGTGGAACCATCCTTTCCTGTGGTGACCGCCAACGTCGCTGCTACAGGGGAGCCGGTTGCGCTTGCAACTCGCAGAAGCCCAACCCCATCAAATACAGTGTCTATATTGGGCCCGGGACCATCTGCTCGATCCAGTTTACAACCAGCCCACTCGCCCAAATCATCCACCCAGAACCTTTAATTAGAATCAGCCCAGGAACCAGCGCTCCAATGCTCACAATCAGCCCACCCGATGTGGCAATAATAATAATTTCGGGGGTCCCACAGCCCGAAATAATCTCAGGAATGGTAATCCCACCATCAGGGCAAATATTATGTGTCAAATTTGTGGGAAACCGAACCATTCTGCTCTTAATTGTTGGCATCGGTTTGAACAACAGGCTTATCCCCCTCAAGTTAACACAACTGTCACTAATCACAATGGCTGATTACTTGATTCTAGAGCAACCAATCATGCATGGTCACCAACAACCTGAACAAGCTTACCTTGGCATCAGATTATACTGGCACTGACTCTCTCATTATTGGTAATGGTAAAGGTCTTGCGATAGCACAAGTTGGGCATATGACCCTTCACTCCCTCTCCCTACCTAATACTCTTTTTATCCCTTCTATTCATACTAATTTAATTTCTATATCCAAATTATGTCACGATAATGACATACTAATTGAATTTCATTCCTTTTTTTGTCTTATCAAGGACCGACGAACAGGAGCAATTTTGTTACGGGGTATGAATAATGGAGACGTCTACAGCTTGCCTGATGCCCCACCTACACCATCTCCTTCTGTTCACGTCACACAAAAAAAATCCCTTAATAAATGGCACTGTCGTTTAGGACATATCCCGCCCTCCCTATCACTAAAAAAATTCTCTCTTCCTTAGATATTTCTTGTCCCAATGTTGCAACTGATTTTTCTTTATGTGTCTCATGTGCTAGTAATAAAAGTCATAAATTACCTTTTGCTCAATCATCTCTTACAAGTTTGGGACCTCTAGATTTAATTTATACAGATGTTTGGGGCCCCCGCTCGTGTTACCTCTGTTGATGGATTTTGTTACTATGTTATTTTTGTTGATCATTATACCAAATATATTTGGTTTTATCCTATTACTCATAAATCTCAGGTAACCTCTCTTTTTCAACAGTTTAAAAAAATTGTTGAAAACTTTTTTCAACGCACAATTAAAACAGTTTACTCTGATGGGGGGGGGGGGGTGAATACATCACCTTAGGGAAATTTCTACGCACATGTGGCGTTTCTCACTTACTTACTCCTCCCCACACTCCAGAACACAATGGCTTTGCTGAACGGCATCGTCACATTGTGGAAACTGGTATCACCTTACTTCACCATGCATCCATGCCTCTTAAATATTGGCCCTATGCCTTCCTTATGGCAGTTTACCTCATTAATAGACAATCTGCACGTTCTCTTAATTTTTGCACACCATATGAAAAACTCTTCCAACAACCTCCTCGATCATTATAATAAACTTGCCATTTTTGGGTGCCAATGTTTCCCATGGTTACGTCCTTGTACCACTCATAAGTTAGAACCATGCTCTAAACCGTGTGTTTTTCTTGGGTACTGTGACCAACAAAGTGCTTATCATTGTCTTGATCTTGCTACTAATCGTGTCTTTGTTAGCAGGCATGTAGTATTTGATGAGTCAGTCTTCCCCTTTTCCACGACCACGCCACCAGTCTCTAAGATCACTACTGAAGTTGATCTTTGGCGTCAACCTTCTTTTTCTTATCTTCCCATTTCAAGTATTGGGGCGTCTCCTCCTACTCATACCTCGGCTCAAGAGCAGTCTCCGAGTACATTACCCACCACTTCCACCCAAAATGACCCCACCCCCCATAGACCCACACCACCACACGTTATTACTTATCAACGCCGTCCCAAACCAAATCCTCCTGGTCCTACACCCCATCTACCTACCACTCCTGATAAACCTACCTCAACCCCAAACTCCGATAACCCACTGCCCAAACGTACCCACCCAATGACCCTTCGACCTCGTAAACAAGCCAATATGGCCGCTCACACTCCTTTACCTCATCACATAATTCCCACTTGTGCCTCTCAAGCTATGCAAGTACCAGAATGGCGGGTGGCTATGTCAGTAGAATTTGATGCCTTGGTAAAACAGGGAACTTAGGACCTTGTTCCATCTCAGCCTGGCCAGAATATTGTGGGTTGCAAATGGGTATATTCAGTGAAGTATAAGCCGGATGGCACCTTGGATCGCTACAAGGCCCGATTAGTGGCCAAGGGTTTTCATCAGTGGCCTGGGATTGATTATTCTGACACTTTTAGCCCGGTCATAAAACCGGTCACTATTCGTGTTGTTTTGACTATTGCTCTTTCGCATGGCTGGCTGGTTCATCAATTGGACGTCAATAATGCCTTCTTACATGGCACTCTTCAGGAAGAGGTTTACATGAATCAACCTCCTGGCTTCAATGATGGTTCTGGGTTTGTCTGTCGTCTACGGAAATCCATTTATGGCCTTAAATAGGCACCTCAGGTGTGGTATCAGTCTCTTAGTGGATGGATTTCTTCTCTCACTCGGTTTTTATCAGTCTGCTGCTGATGCCAGTCTATTCGTATTTTCTTCCCATGACTCCTACATATATGTGTTGATTTATGTGGATGATATTATTGTTACTGGCTCTAAACCATCTTTGATACGTCAAATTATTGATTCCTTGGCCCACCAGTTCTCAATCAAAGATTTAGGAGCCTTACATTATTTCTTGGGCATGCAGGTTACTCCTACAGAGGATGGACTCTTTCTTGATCAACATAAATATATTATGGACTTATTTAAAATGTTGAACATGGATGAAGCTAATCCTGTGGCTACGCCGTTAGCATCTTCTGCCTCCTTAACTTTGTTTGACAGCTCTGGATCCTGTGATGTCACTCTCTATCGCCAAGTCATCGAATCACTTCAATACCTGAATCTTACCCGCCCAGATGCTGCTTTTGCAATTAACAAACTAGCTCAATTTATGCATAAACCTACGGTTAATCAATGGCAGTTTCTCAAACGTCTTTTACGCTATCTACAAGGCACTGCCCTCTCATGGACTTTTTCTTCGTCTGAGTATTTCTCCCTCCTTATTTGCCTTTGCC